ATTCGACTTTTGCAGCAATGGCGGCGGAAGGTGCAATCTACGACGAACACCTCTACGTATCGGGGACATTCCAAAAAAAAAATTAATAAAAAATTAATTTGACTCTGATACCAACTGATGCAGAAAAAGTATAAGATAAAAAATTATTATTTTAGTTGTTTGATTAATTTATTTTTAATCTATGAGTATCTCTCAGCTACCTGCGTAATTACTCTTATTTCATAAAATTAAAAAAATTAATACGCAATGCACCAATTATAACAACAATTGTAACAACAATACCGTAGTAATAAAAAACGACATCTTGAAAAGTAGAAATTCTAGAAATAAATAAATAAATAACCAATATGCTCCTAAAAAATGTTTTTTTTTTTTTTTCCCATATTTTTGTCCATCCACATTGCACTTAGCCCTGATAGTAGCCTCCATTAGGAAAAACCGAGGCAGGCAGGCATAAGCCAGCAATCGACAAATTAAAAAAAAAAAAAAGGAAAAAAACCTAATTTGTAAGAAAGAGGGCATATTGTCGGACAGTGGTAGTAAAGGAAGAAAAAATGGAGGCTATCTAGCATCAATGTCAATATCATCCACCACTCTGCCAAGTGCTTGCCATTGCAGCGAAGCCCTAGCTTTTGTCTTCTTATACTCATGGCCGCTTCTTCCATCTCCCTCACCCCATTCCTCGCCTCTGATCTCAACGACGTCGTAAGCCTCTTCGCCTTTCTTCTTAATCACTTCCTGTTTGGTTGCTCAGAAAATACGGGAAAGTAGAAAAGTGAAGAAAAAGAAAGGATGATTTTTCTTCTTCTTCTTCTTCTCCTCCTCTCTCTCTCTCTCTCTCTCTCTGCCTTAAGTGCCTAAATCTTAGTCGTTCTTTTCAATTCTTCTTTCGCTCGAGTTGGAGCTGCAATTCTCAATAGAAGATATTGTAAATTCTAACATTTTTGGTTAATTATATGTTATTTGTTGAAGCAAATATTGAGTTTTTTTTTTTCTTCGTATTTATATTTCACAAGTGAAAGCAATTTATTGGTTATTGGCTCCTAACCTGTTGGATGTTTAGCAATATCGGTTAGAATAATCTTATGAAATGTAGCTAACAATTCAAAGTTAGTTAAAAGTTGTTGAGGAGGATTTCTATTTTGTACATTATATGAAATGATTTAGGATGATTTCTATTTTGTGCATTATATGAAATGACGATTAAGATTAACATCTTATGTGAAGCTGTTCTTCTTACACTGAGAGGGAATATTGGCGTTTTTTCTTGATTAGGAATTGTGATATTCTTTCGTGATGATAGTTAAGAACTTAAAAAAAAAAAAAAAATCCTATTTTGGAGTAGGTCTGAAGGACGTAATTTCTGTTTTCTTGACTTGTCGGTGTTTGTTTGTTTCGTTTCGGGATTGATTCTTTAAAGCTTTCAGTTGAGTGATCCCAAGGGGATTCATTCGATTTTACTTATTTTTTGGGCAATGCAGACGTTTAAGGTTCTCTGATTTCAGTTTTTTTTTCTTGATGTTGTTCTAAGGGTTTAACTACTGGGAGTTTCTCGGCAACATTTGGGCGTTCGGGGTTCTGCAGCCGAGTGTCACTGAGAAAACGATTGTTGTGTTCGGAGAACTTAAAATTGAATTGTTCGACTGGTAGAGAGATGGATCTTAGTGCCTCAGCTTTGGCTGATGGTGTTGTGGAGTGCATAAATGGTTTGTTGTTGTTGTTGTTGTGTTGCGCATATGCTTTTCCTTTTGCGCATTTTTCATTCACTTGTTGTACTGGTAGTACAGATATTGAGCAACAAGAGCCAAGCATATCAACGATCCTGATGAATTTTGAGAACAAGTTTGATCCTTTTGAAGCAGTCAGTACTCCGCTTTACCAAACGGCTACCTTTAAGCAGGTAATAATTGAAAGTGAAGAATGAGAATTGTTTGATTTTAGGTTTCTTCATTCTGCGGTTTTTGAAAAATTCTCGCCCTCATATGTTGGTTACGATTTTGTTTCTGTTTTTGTTTTGTATTTTTTTTTCTGTTTTTTTTTTTTGTTTTTTTTTTGTTTTTTTTTTTGTTTTTAATTCAGCCTTCAGCAATAGAAAATGGCCCATATGATTATACCAGAAGTGGAAATCCTACACGAGATGTTTTGGAAAGGTCTGATTCTGTTTGATGGTATATGAATCATAGATGTAGTAGCTTTGACAATCTTATTATCACTACTTCTTAATTATTTGGAGTTTCTTAGACTGAACTTTATTCTATTTGTATTCTTAGCCTTTTGGCAAAGCTTGATAAAGCAGATCGTGCATTTTGCTTCACTAGTGGAATGGCTGCTTTGGCTTCTGTAGGCCATCTTGTTGGGACTGGTATGTCTTTATATATATATATATATATATATATATATAATATATATATATATATGTAATATAGTTTTGGTAACGTTTACTTCTAATGATAATGATGTTCTTCTCAAAACTTTAGGAAATAAAGATAGCATAAATCATTATGAACATTTTAATAGGTGGGTTGTTTTCTCAATGATCCAGTGTAGTTTATTTATACTGGACGCAGCTCATATTTCTAATATAATATCTGAGCTGGATTGAGGTTCTTTAGATTAAAAAAACTTACATTGCAGAGAGTATATTCTGGGTTGAGCAAAATGTATACTAGACCAGGTTTCCATTTGTTTGTCACTGATTGAAAACTATTACCTCCTGTGTGTTTGTTAGGAACCTAACTCAGAAAATCAACCAAACACCAATACCACACTCACACACACCAGAAACAGCAAGTAAATGAGAGTAATCAGAGGGAATTTTATTAATCTAATCAACCAAGAACACCAAATTACACTGAAATATAAAGGATAGATCGGAGATTTCGAGCTCTTTGGCACTCCCAGCCGTTCCGGCAACACTCTCAACACTCAGACGATGGAAAATACTCAATACCTAAACCTGCTGGCCTTCCCCCATTCAAATTACTCCCAGAATAGCCCCCTCCACGTCAGCCCCCTCCTAGCCACTTTCAATATTTTCCCTTAAGCCCCTAACTCTGTTTTCTTCCCGTTTTGCCCCTCCTAGTGTAAACTTGCTTCAGTAGGGGTCTAACAGTGTTCAGATCATTTTTCTGAAAACTCAGTAATGTGGTTTTAGGTCAGGAGATCGTTGCTGGAGATGATCTCTATGGTGGTTCTGATAGGCTGCTGTCAAAAGTACTTCCAAAGACAGGGGTCGTGGTTAAGTTAGTATGGTTTCTTTTTTTATTATCTTCATGTAGCTTAAACTAGTGGATATCGAGTTATAATTATCATTCATCACAATTTGCAGACGAGTGAATACAAGTGATTTGGATGAGGTTGCTTCTGCAATTAGCCCCCGGACAAAGCTTGTGTGGCTTGAGAGTCCCACAAATCCTCGGTTAATGATTTCTGATATTCGTGTAAGATACCTTTGTCATATTATCTTATTCTATTTCTGTGTCATCTTTCTTTTATTACCAAGGATAGTAATGGAGAAGAAATTATGTTGGATTTATTTACTGGTCAATATCCCAGGTCTGACACATGACTATTTTATATGCTTGCATGAGTAAATTCTTTTACGATAATGCTGATCAAGAAGTACTGAAATTTCCATGTTCTAAAAGGTTGTACATAAATCGGGCAGAGGATTATCATTCTTTGCATCAGAAAGATATAGCGCGGATGTTTAACTTAATTTTGGGTAGATCAATAAAATGATTAAGTTGCTGTTTAGTTCTTGTAACCAGGAATTGTCATATGATAGTAGCCTTTGGTGCATTTATTATCAATTTCTTTTTCAAGGAAAGCACTGCCAGAATAGAAGACGCTATTTCGAATGGAAAAAAGTAATTTTCTTTATTCCTGTTTCAGAAAATATCAGAAATAGCTCATGCTCACAGTGCTTTCGTGTTGGTGGATAACAGTATAATGTCCCCTGTATTGTCACGGCCACTTGAACTAGGAGCCGGTACCAAATATATGCTCTGAAAATCATATTTTACAAGTTGTAACATTCTCTCTCTTGCTCTCTTTTTTTAGTTGTTGATTTCAATTCTGATTGTTTCATTTTCCTATCAGACATTGTTATGCACTCGGCAACGAAGTTCATAGCAGGACACAGTGACTTGATGGCAGGTGTACTGGCTGTAAAAGGAGAAAGGTTGTGCAGTGTGTTCTTTTTGCTATAGACGTCGTATTTTCTTTTGTTATATATTAATTTCTTTTATGGATGAGAAAACTTGCTTTCGTTGATAAATAAATCAATTACAAAGGAAGGAGGATCAGACATCCTCTAAAAGCAGGAGACTAGAAAGAAAAAAAAAACATAACAGGGAAAAACAAAAAGAAAGCTGAATAAATTGACAAAAAAGGAATTAGCTACCAATAACGTCCCTCCAGTTTAACACAATAAAAAGGAAAATCTTTAAGAGTTTTATCCATTGAAGCGCACAACTAAGCTGTAAACATATCATTCTCAAACAAATTGATCAAATCCATTTCCTTGTCTTCGAAGATCCTTGAGTTTCTCTCCATCCATATTGTCCAAAGCAAAAAAGTCATGATACTTTTCTCCAGAACCCTTGCCATCTTATTGGTACCAAAACCAATTGAATTGCTGAAGCATAAGATCTATTGTTTCCCCATCACATTTGACATAAGAAACCAAGTAGAGATATATAGCTGACGATTCTTCCTTTGTACCATATCACAAGTATTGCTTTCCCATGAAAAACCAACGAAGCAATCAACAATTTATTCCAAAGTCTTGTTCTTTTAATGTTGATGACTATGACATCCACTAGCTTCTTCTTTTATCAGCTAGGCAAATGAATTGGTACTTTCTACAAAATGCAGAAGGGTAGTTTTGTTATTGTTATGTTATGACTATAACATTCACAAGCTTCTTCTTTTAGCAGCTTGGCAAAAGAATTGTACTTTCTACAAAATGCAGAAGGGTCTGGATTAGCTCCATTTGACTGTTGGCTATGTCTGCGGGGAATCAAGACTATGGCCTTACGAGTTGAGAAGCAACAGGTGCAGCTTCATTGCCTATGTCACACCTTTATACTTTTCTCATAAACATGTGCACAACTGCAAATATCAGATCTATGAGAGTCCTTTCTATATTGTCTTCGGTTCTACATGGCCACTAAAGTAGATAATACTGTTCATATATATAATATCTTGGTGTACAGGGAATTAATTTAAAGACAATATTGTGAATTAGCACTATTAAACTTTTCGATGCACATTTCATATATGTTTGCCTCTAGTCAATGATGGTCTAAACTTCTTATTTGGCTTATGAATTCTCGGATGCAAAATTATCTTGGTTCATGTGTTCTCTTTTGTTAGTTTTAATTGTAACGATTACAGCTTTGTAAGAGTTTTTTATTTTTATTTTTGAATCTTTGGCAGGATAATGCGCAAAAAGTTGCTGAATTTCTTGCCTCCCATCCACGAGTCAAAAAGGTTAACTATGCTGGTCTTCCTGATCATCCTGGACATGCGTTACATTATTCCCAGGTACTCGCATGAAGTGGAACCCTAATTCATTGCTGCAATAACCCCAAAAAATTGTTTTATATAGTTCTTTCTAAGCAAACAACTTTTGTGCAATATTTGCTTGGAAACATATTTCAGGCAAAGGGTGCAGGAGCTGTGTTGAGCTTCTTGACAGGCTCAGTGGCATTATCAAAGCATATTGTTGAGACTACCAAGTACTTCAGCATAACCGTCAGCTTCGGTACTGTTTTTTCTTTCCCTTATTTTATTTATGCTATTACAGACCGTTTATTGTTCTTAAAAGGAATTCATCATTTCTCGTTGAACAAAACGAAGCACTGTACCATCTTGAATACTTTGTCGTCATGGAGGGCAAAAATACTGGCAGGAAAGTCCTGGTGGCTTTTGTCTAGGATGTTTAATTCTTCAACGTTTGAAGCTTTTTCATTGTTAATCCTTGGAATGTTCTTAAAACAGTTGGTTCTAAGATCCACATTCAAAGTATTGAGCTTCTGGTTAAAATGAGTTCTAATGGATTAAGGTTTTGCTTTGAGGTTAACATGCAAGTTGCTCCAAAAAATTTTTGGTCATTTGGCGCTTACTTACCATGTGAGGTCTGTCTGTTAACAGGGAGCGTGAAGTCCCTAATAAGCATGCCCTGCTTCATGTCTCATGCAAGTATACCGGCCGAAGTGCGGGAGGCCCGAGGTCTAACCGAAGATCTGGTTCGAATCTCTGTTGGAATTGAAGATTTGAATGATCTGATTGCTGATTTAGACAACGCCCTTAGAACTGGACCTGCCTGAGGATGTTCAGAAATTTCAGCTCAGCAGTTGTACAAGGATTTGCATCCGCTACAAAAATGTGTGCAGATATGCTCGGATCGATTGAAGCTGCATAAACAATAAGTGTTTGCATTCATCACTAACTTAATTTCTGAAGCAGGATATCCGACGACAGCAAGTACTTTTTGAGTGAGATTTGATTTTTAACCAAGCTTACTGCTGCTGTCTGTATATATTTTGCTCTCTCTAAAATATTGAAGTCTGGTCTTTTGAGTTTTTCTTCTTCGGGTAAAAGACTCGGATTTGAAATCAAAATTATGCAATATGATGAAATTGGTTATTGTGATAATTAAAATAATTTGTGGGAGAATATTAGCATCTCTTACTAAGCTAAACCTAATCTCTGACTCTTTTTGATAGGAGTTAATTGACTCTTTTTGATAGGAGTTAATTGACTCTTTTTGATAGATACAACGTGCGTATACTGATATTACAACATCAAGCCATCCCATCTCTGGGTTTCCCATTTTTTTCCCGACAAATTTGATAGGATTTTTAAGTACAGTCTACTACAGTGCATGTTTCTGAATGATAGAATTGATTAACATCACATTGAAATAAATTGACACTTTTGAAGCCTGAAAAGCATTTAGTTCGTTAGATCAGTATCGTTAGTAATATCTGTCCTCTAATTTAAAATAAATGTTAATAAAACTATTGCTTTGCTGAAAATTTGCGTGAAATTTATGGAAAGTACAGACCAAAAAATTGCCTCAAGCCATGGATTGTTAAAAACTGGAAATGCCAAAGCAATCAATTATACACCTACCACAAACAGCAATTTAACTTGCTACAATGACCATCTTAAAACATAAGCCAAAGTAAAAACATTTTGGAGGAAAATACTGGAACCATGTCATATATCATCTCCTTATTACCGCAACACCTTTTTATCCAATCACACATTCATGTTAAGTTTGAAATCTACTGATCATGACCTATGGTTAAGGTTCATACAGTAGCACATAAACCAATTAAAGATAACACAAGTTGCAATAACTAACATATTTTAAAGAGTAGTGTTAGCTATCAACTTTTTTATACCAACTCATGTCGCGGCGAGTTATATATTTTTTATATTGGTAGATGTAATTTTTTTAATTGTAATTTATATGAGTAATTTATATGTAAATTTTTTAAAACTTGCCAATAAGAGAATGTACATTCATATGTCACGTCACTATCAAAACACTGGAATCCTAACTTAGAGTTAGTGTGGTGATTCTTGTTAGATGTTATGAGTTAAAAATCAACTTTATTATGAAGCAATTGAGTTGCTTGGTAAACTACGTTGGGAAAATTACACCCCGTTTCCCTTTATTTTATTAAAATGGTAGACTTGGTACCTCTTTGTTTGGATGATACCCAAAAAATTTTGGGATTTGAATATCCTTCATGTCCCCCTTAACTATTGGGATTTGAATACCACTTAAAATAGTACAAATTAATATTTATGCCATTGAAGTGGTATAGCAAAAACGTTCTTTTTATTCTAGTCAGTAAAAACTAATCTTAAACGGCACAAACTTAAATGTGTTTTGAACGGCATAAATGTAGAGATAGCAAAAAAGATGGTAGTATACATAATATTTTCTTTACGATTTTTATTCATTGTATCTGAAATTACTTCAAAACAAAAGGAAAAACATATTATTATTTTGTCTCCTATTGGGTACATGAATGACTAGTTTTTTATAATTAATTAATTTGCAGTACTATCTAAAAATAACATTTCAAGTCCAAAATAGAAATAAAAAACAGGCGCAAAGTACATGGGGAGTATTTTAAAAGTTTAACTTAGCAGTTTGGTAGTATCAAGACACGGAGTATAAATCCATAATTTTAATAAAACACATTTTACCGATATATAATTTTTCAAAAACATAACAAATTAAAAAAATAAACCCATACGTTTTCACTTTGTTAGATCTAAAACTTTGAAAATTCTTTTGGCACTTTTCTGCAGTTGAGAACTTGCAGATCGACATAAAATGAGTATGAAGGGTGAAAACGAAAAAAAAGAAAAAAAAGAAAAAAAAAAGATATGCGTGAAATCGTGGAAAGAGTCGAATATATAATAAAGGGATGAACTTGGTACTTTGAGTTAATTGTAAGCGTAGTTCAAAAATAAATATCTTTTCTAAATGCGTTTCCAAAATAAATTTCACTAAATAAGACTGGCATGACATTTTGCAAAACTGAGAAATGTCCCCTTGCTAGCCTTGTCAAAGTTAATCCATGAGTCGTCAAATTATTAACTAATATGCCCGGACTTTATAAGGAAAATTTAAAAATAAAAAAAAATAAAAATGTAATTTGAGTCGCCTCAAAAAGACTTTTGGGCCTAAATTTTAAGTTTAGTAAAAAACTCAAGTGTCTCGAGCCAGAATCGGGCCACAATAACAGGCTTCAGGCCAAATGGTCCATTTGGCCTGACTCAAATTGACACATCTATTTTTCTCCTCCCAGACCCGCCATCACTCTTCCCTTTGCATGAATTACTTTTGAAGGGAACGCAGCAACCCCACGGGGCAGTTAATTGTACAATGTATTTTAAATGATCATGGTTTGAGAGTTGAAATTAATTAATACAAAACATTAGATGGGATATTTATAACGATAATTAGGATTTTATAATTAATGAAAAGTACATTAGGAGAGAGAAAATATGGTTATGTAAAAATAAGTACAATAACCCAAATGCCAATATTCTATTAGACAAGTGCACCACATAAACATGATAATGTGTAACAGTTAACTACTGAATACAACAATTTAATATGGTTATGTAAAAATATGTATAATTATTTAAACGCTAACATTCTAGGTATACCACATAAACATGACAAGTATATGCGGTATACTTAGGCCCCGTTCATTTCGCCGATTCGAGTTTAGAATTCGAGTTTTGCTACAGTAAAAAGCTCTCAGAAACAGTCACATCTATCTTTTTTGCTACAGTAAAAAGTTCTCACACAAAATCACATCTCAACTCGAATTATAAACTCAAATCAATGAAGTGAACGGACCCTTAAACTACTATTGAATACAACAATTTTCAGGTAAACAGATTAATAAACATTATTTCATGTGATTCTGATATGATTCGGTCGTTTAACTCCCTATTTTAGAAATAGTTATACCTCTAATATGGGCTAGAGTTTCATTTTAGTTTATTTTTTTCTTTTCTGGTGAAAGTATAGAGCCAAAAAATTCTTTAAAGTTCCGTTCATTTTACCGATTCAAATTTTATTACAGTAAAAAATTTTAAAAAACAATCACATTTAATTTTTTTACTACAGTAAAAAAATTCTCACATAAAATTATATCTCAACTCAAATCTAACAAGCCCTAAATTTCTAACAAGAGGTTGTAAACGTCATCATTTTGGCCTAGTGGCGTTGCTCAACGTTATCTCTCTCTGTCTCTCCTTCCTTTTTTTTTTTTTTTTTAGTATGAATTCAATGAAGTTTGATAAATGTACTACTAAAAAAATGAACCCATACGTTTTCACTTTGTTAGATCTAAAACTTTGAAAATTCTTTTGCACTTTTCTGCAGTTGAGAACTTGCAGATCGACATAAAATGAGTATGAAGGGTGAAAACGAAAAAAAAAAAGAAAAAAAAGAAGGGGAAAAAAGATATGCGTGAAATCGTGGAAAGAGTCGAATATATAATAAAGGGATGAACTTGGTACTTTGAGTTAATTGTAAGCGTAGTTCAAAAATAAATATCTTTTCTAAATGCGTTTCCAAAATAAATTTCACTAAATAAGACTGGCATGACATTTTGCAAAACTGAGAAATGTCCCCTTGCTAGCCTTGTCAAAGTTAATCCATGAGTCGTCAAATTATTAACTAATATGCCCGGACTTTATAAGGAAAATTTAAAAATAAAAAAAAATAAAAATGTAATTTGAGTCGCCTCAAAAAGACTTTTGGGCCTAAATTTTAAGTTTAGTAAAAAACTCAAGTGTGTCGAGCCAGAATCGGGCCACAATAACAGGCTTCAGGCCGAATGGTCCATTTGGCCTGACTCAAATTTACACATCTATTTTTCTCCTCCCAGACCCGCCATTACTCTTCTTCCCTTTGCATGAATTACTTTTGAAGGGAACGCAGCAACCCCACGGGGCAGTTAATTGTACAATGTATTTTAAATGATCATGGTTTGAGAGTTGAAATTAATTAATACAAAACATTAGATGGGATATTTATAACGATAATTAGGATTTTATAATTAATGAAAAGTACATTAGGAGAGAGAAAATATGGTTATGTAAAAATAAGTACAATAACCCAAATGCCAATATTCTATTAGACAAGTGCACCACATAAACATGATAATGTGTAACAGTTAACTACTGAATACAACAATTTAATATGGTTATGTAAAAATATGTATAATTATTTAAACGCTAACATTCTAGGTATACCACATAAACATGACAAGTATATGCGGTATACTTAGACTACTATTGAATACAACAATTTTCAGGTAAACAGATTAATAAACATTATTTCATGTGATTCTGATATGATGCGGTCGTTTAACTTCTTATTTTAGAAATAGTTAATACCTCTAATATGGGCTAGAGTTTCATTTTAGTTTATTTTTTTCTTTTCTGGTGAAAGTATAGAGCCAAAAAATTCTTTAAAGTCTCGTTTATTTCACCGATTCAAATTTTACTACAGTAAAAAACTCTCAAAAATAATCACATCTAACTTTTTTACTACAGTAAAAAAAATTCTCACATAAAATCACATCTCAACTCAAATTAAGAACTCGAATCAACAGCCCCTAAATTTCTAACAAGAGGTTGTAAACGTCATCATTTTGGCCTAGTGGCGTTGCTCAACGTTATCTCTCTCTGTCTCTCCTTTTTTTTTTTTTAGCATGAATTCAATGAAGTTTGATAAATGTACTACGGTGAACGGTTGAGATCCAAGCCCTTTTTCCCCCCTTTACCCTACCACAAAAATTCATTCTCTATTTCATTTCGCAAGGAAGGCAAATGCGACATACTATTCTAACATAAATTTACCACTACATGATAGAATTCAAATATCATGGGATGGTTTATTAAAGAATTCGAACTTGCACAACTCCAATAAGCAAAAAGACCAAAGCCCATGCCTCGAAATATCACATCCTCAGTTAAAATTTTTAAGTAGACACAATCAAAACTTACTCCCATTCAAGTAGGATTTGTCTACCAATTGTCACGAACTCCGACTGCATAAGCAAAAGCGTAACTTATATAGTTGACGCCAAATATGATACATAAACGTTAAAACATACACTTAAATTAAAAACACACCATTATCGTCAAACCCAGCAGTAAAACCTTCCATGTCTTACATGGTTACAAGACCACTTGAAAACCTTTTTTCTCCCTCTTCTAAAGAACCATTCTAATGTCAATTTTCATCACTACGTCAGCGAAATTTTACACACCAATCATTACCTTCTAAGAGTTTAAAATTCATGATGCCGAAGCATCCAAGCCCATAATGTTATGTACACCGATCCCCCGGTCAAATTAGAGCTGCACAAAACCCCAAGTCATAAGAGATTATCCGGGTGGGGGGAGTAACAACAACAAACAATAAACAACAAAAGGACAGCAAATTATTTGAAACTGCAAAGAAAGTATTGAAGGGTTTACTTTGATTAAATTACAGTCTACAGATTCATTTCAAATCCCCAGTAAAGCACACTCTTTGATTTGTAACATGTGCTTTTTAAATGGATGCAATAACTAGGCATTTTGAGTTTCGCCTAGACCATGGATACAACAATTTTATGGTGAGGATGGACCCATTACTTTTACAAGATCCCATCACCAAACAATTTTTGAATTTTAGTCGCAACGGTCTGATGTAATAACAGGGGAGCTCTTTCACTCCTCAAGAATTAACTTCGTGCATGCATGCACGATATTGTTAGATTGTATCACATATCAATATCATACTGGATTTTATGCAGAAAAAGGCCAGAAAGAAGAAAGGGAAAAAAATACCCTCAATAAATAGCAGACATAACTACTATCTTTACCTTTTGCAATTTTATTTACTCCTCACTGCCAAAATCTTCATAACTCAATCCTTCCGATATAGTGTCCAACCTTTTACTGTCTCCTGTAAGGGCAAGAAAATAGCATTACTTTCCTCCGAGGTAAACATAACATAAAAGGGAAAAAAAAATTTACCTTGAGGGTCTCCTCTTTCACGAGAATCCAGAAAGTCTTCAGCATCTGGTGCCAGGAAGGGTGATCTAGAATAGCTTTCCAGTATATCTAAAACATGAAGTATCGTCTTTTCATTTTCACGTCCAGAGTGTTAAACTTGAAATGTCTTCAATTTAGTAAACCATGTATGTGTTTATCAAGTGGCTAGTTTTCAGTTTATTACAAGAGAAACCAAGATCTGTGCGAGAATGCAATTTAGAGTAAGAACCCGTTTAGTTCACTGATTTAAGTTTTTAATTCAAGTTGAGATGTGATTTTATGTGAGAACTTTTTACTGTAACAAAAAAGTTAAATGTGACTGTTTCTGAGAGATTTTTTACTGTAGCAAAACTCAAATTCTAAACTCGAATCGGTGAAATGAACAAAGCCTAAAAAAGACCAAGATGTACAAGGATCTTGTGCACCATATATCTTTGTGTATTTGTATTACACAACAAGGATCAAAAGAATACTATTAATGAAATGCACTTGCACACTCGTCACGGCCAAACGCAAGAGAGTGACCCAGACGAAGATAAAGAAGAGAGACAGGACGTACCAGAACTCTGAGAAAAATCAGCTGTCAGGTCTGAGAGGCTGAAATTCCGAGGAATCTGACCTAAAAATCCAAATGAAGAAGTGTCTGCATCAAGAAGAGAATCATTCAGGGGTTGTGAATTAGAATCTACACTACTGAAATGTGCAACCGACACATCTCCAATATTTGGCCGTCCTTCCAGGACATTGTTTTCAGCGCCAAACAGGTAGGGAGTACTTGAATATCCAACTTCTGATTTGATGACCCCACCAACTTCCGGTTTGATCATTCCACCAACTTCTGATTTGATGATCCCACCAACTTCAGATTTGATAATCCCACCATTCATTCCTTGCATCAGTTCCATGTTGGAGTTCTGAGTTGAGAGCATGTTTTGTGGGGTATCAAGCCTACCAGCATGAGCAGACATCTCAACAGCATTGTGCATACCGGTGTGCATTGAGGACCCACCATTGGTAAATGCATTTGGTAAGCAGGAACCAACTGCACGGTGCATATTTTCTGGCTTTAGAGCTGGTCCTACATGCTCTGGGGTGTAGCATGCTGAGTTCTGGTGCACTATCAGAAAAAGTAGTATATCAATTGTAAAGTTCATTAAAACTAAACAAGCCACTAGAATCACATGCGCGCACATTCTATGTATGTGTCTGTATATATACTTATACTTATATATACACATATTTGTATATGAGATAGATTAGCCGGATAAACTTAATACTACATAAAATATGCTTAGGATATCCTTCTGAATGAGCAAAACTTTCAGTTGAGAACTATGCAAGTCTCGAAAGTTTAAGAAACCATATGTACATAGTTTTTTACATTTTTGTCTCTGGAAATGTCTATGATAATAGCTTTCCGAAACGCAGTTTTGCTCTGAAAATTGTTTGTCATTCTTGTGAGTTGTGCCCAACATGTTTGAACAATCATTTAAACATTAGTAATGGGTCCTTGAAGTCCCATGCATAAGGAGTAAGCTCAAGGCACATGAAACCTTTGTAGACGCACAACCAAACAAAGCCTTCTTACATGGTGGAATGTTGGAGCCATTAGACGTAGTTATTGGAGAAACTCCACTGGGATGCATTTGATGCATCAAGCGTGCTTGTTGTTTAAGCAACCTGTTAAATTCATTGATTTGGTGCTTCACCACCAATCTGAGATAATAAGCCTTGAAAAATTCTTGATTCTCTTCTTCAAGCTTCTGCCAAACTGCAAACCAAGCAAGTCTTTAATTCCAGGCAGGAAATACAACTATGACATTCAAGAACTAGTAATGACTAAATTCCATAAAACAATCAGCTTTAACTCCTAACTTTGCAAAACCCTTTGTACTGTCCTTAAAACATAATCAACATACTGCTGCCTCTGTATGACGTATGCAGGAAATTTCTCGCATGATAAGAGTCCATAATAAGCCAGCCCATTACTGCCACTATCTCACAATCTAATCCGCATAGACAATGAAACATCAGGTGTAATACAACTCTACTGCAGGTACTTTTCAGGATCTTTGGAGAGACTAATTCATGAATTGAAAAGTAGTAGGATGCCAAACTTGTCTAGTTTGAGACTACTCTGGGACAATCAAGGTCGCCAGAGAACATGAAAAGTTGATGTGTGTGTGTGTGTTTTCCTTTTTACAAATGAGAGAAAATAATCTAGAGGAAAATCAACATCTAGGAATGGCACCTAGAATTAGGTAATGAATTACATGTGTGCAAACGGAGCATCAGTGGATTCATTGTAACCAAGGAGAATCACCCATATCAACTGTCTACGGAAAACTAAAAAGGGAAAATGATTTAAAGAGACAAAATTAGCATGTGATTCTCAGAATCAAGTAGAACAAGGTAGTTACCAAGCGATGTGAAATCAGGCTCTATTTTTGCCTGATCCAATAAAGTATCCACAACTTCCTTCTGGTTCATATACAGCTGCAGACATCGTTCAATAAGATTCTGCACCTGAATTTTCACATAAATAGAGATGAGCTTAGCCGTGAAAGAAGAAAAATCTGTCCATATAGGTAAAGGCTATGACATGATGTCGGAAAACCCAAATTTGTTTATAGTGAGTGAGTAAGAAATTCCAGAAAAGAGGAAGGTGGAAAAAGCTCAAGTTATTTCTCCGTTTTCGATTTCAGTTATTTGTTAACCATCCTAAAGGAAGGATGGGTGGAGGGCAATCATTATTAATTCATCAATTTTTCTCCAATATATTTAAACAAAAAAATTCTAGCAAAGAATTTCGGTATACTTTGTATATGCTGGTTAACAAAGCATGGATTAAACGTTGGTTATTTTGCTCTTTCTTTCATTGAAATTCATAAGTTAAAGGTCAATTTACATACAAAAGCTTCAGACAAATCAGCACAGCGGACAGTAATTGACACCCTATTGTTTTCTTCCTATCATCCTATGTGAATTGGCTTTGCAAATATCTCAAAATGACCCTGTAGACTGACCCAATCCCGTTTGGTTCACTGATTCGAACTAGCATTTACATGTGCAGTTAAAGTGTAAATCTGAACATCTAATCAGGGAATAAAATCCAAATTTGTGTTCACATAAGTGTTAAGAGCAGAGAGAATGGGCATGATTTTACTGTTCAAAAATCGATTGAAAATTGAAATAGAGGTGTGAATGGATAAACTCTGAGCTGGGAGAGTTCAACACAGTTTGAACAGGGAATAAAATTCAGACTAGGCGATTACCAAACCCATATTTGAACTTTGTTCTGAAAATGATACTTTTGGAGAAATAAGAACTCAAACAATCATTAATTTATTCCCATCAGCAGAAAATTCAAGCACAGAAGCTTACCAGTTGTATATCCTGACGTGAAACTCGTCTTACGGACCCACTCGGCATAATTAAAGCTTCTAAGTTATATAGACAGTTTCATAAGATTAAAAAACAGCTATAATCTTCTTAACACTATCAGCAATCCTGACAATTTGCACTCGGAGTTCAGAGTTCAGCTTTACATATCACGCATCTATGATTTATAGCCTGATTGAAAAAATTCACAAGAACAAATGTAATCGAATTAGCTCTTCCAATTCTATACCAGAAATTGGAAAACAAATTCAACGAGAGAAACTCACCATTAAAATAAAAACAAAAAAAGATTGCCCAGCATATCGAAATAGAAAATTAGGTACGAAATAATGAAATTTTCAGCTATAGGCGGCAAATAAAAAAGTAGAAAATAAGAAAATATCGTTATCACGGAGCTAATCCACACTAAATATCTTGCATGCGAGAGAGCGAATCACAAGAAATCATTTATACTTTTCTTAAGATCAAACTGACTACTAGGGTTTGAATTGATCAATTTCCGACGACAAATCCAATCAAATACAAGCTACAAATACAAAACCCTAGAATTCGCCCCAATTCATGCATAGATCCAAATACACGCAGAATCCGACGCAAAAATACGCAGCTGTTATTCGACGTTACAACAACAAAAAAATAATAATAAAAATAAAAGAAATTGATCAGAAAAAGTGAAAACTTTGAGCAAAATTGGGATTCTGAGTGGAAAATCGATCTCACCTGAATTCGATAAGATTGGGAGAAAGTGTCGGGAGCTTCAGCGTGAGAAAGCCTTTTAGAGAGAGAAAGAGTGGAGAGAGAAAGGTAAGGAACCTTTCTTCTTCTGCTTTTTAATGGTGGGAATGGAACTCTGATGATCAACTTTAATCCTAGCGAATCTGTTTGTCGTTTTTGGGCATTAGTTCTTATTTTTTATTTTTTATTTTTTCAGTTTTTGCTTTTTGACAGGTGAGCCTCGGAAGAG